TTGGGTTCGGTTACTAGATTATCACCATTTTTTGGTGGTGTCATGTTTCCTTGATTTCTCATGTTCCTTAGAGTTTTGCATTGTTGTCTTTGTATTTGAAGTAGCAGTCACCTTGTATCTTTACTATTTTCGAGAAATACCTTCGGGGGTGCTTGGGTGGCTTAGTCAGTTAAGTATCAGACTCTTGATTTCAGCTCAGGTCATGATCTTAGAGTCCTGGGATTGAGCCCCATGTGGGCTTCGTGCTTAGTGGGGAGTCTGCTTCAGAATTCTCTCTCTTCCTCCCCCCTCCCCACTCATGTGTGCTCTCTAAAAATGAATAAATGGAAATCTAAAAAAAAAAAAAAATACCTTCAGTCAGCTCTGGTAGAGAATCTGTGACTTTCTGTCTATGGATATGCCTGCTCCATGCTTCTTGCTACCTCTTATGGCAGAATTCTTAAGCTTGTACGCCTTCTCAATTTTGCAACGGACAAGGCTCAGTGCTGACAGTCTTCCTTTTGCTTTCCCAAGGGTAGGGCTAAAGCTCAGGTTTGTGGCCTCTCTGGCCCACGAATTTGGGCTGGCTTTTTGCACAAGATCACTAGCCCTCTGCCAAAATATGCTCTCAACGCTGTTGGGATGCACACAGAGAGCCAGCCACGTGTGTGTGTGTGAGTGAGTGATACATGCAGCATTGGGGGGTCCCCACAGACTACTCAGGGAGATCCACAGGTAAGGTATCCTTAGCAGCTCATGAGCCAGCTTAATGGAGGCTGTGAAGCAATTAGTAGATTCTGTCCTTTTAATGACCTCCAAAAGTCATATCTGCTACTCTCCCAGCTTCTTTCCACCCCCTAGTCACATAGCTCATGATTCAGTACTCTGGATGGGACCACAGTGAAATGGGCCTCTTAGGCAGCATCCTGCACAGCTGGGGAAGCTGGGCACTCACTCTCACTTTCTCCCCACCCCCTCACTCCCCCCCCCCCGCCCCCCAGGAGAAATCACAGGCTGAGACCTCTCTTGGCCTTGAGTTGTTCCACCTTGAGGGAGGAGTGATAAGTTTAAACTATTCCTCTTTAAGGCGCCTGGGTGGCTCAGTTGGTTAAGCGACTGCCTTCGGCTCAGGTCATGATCCTGGAGTCCCGGGATCGAGTCCCACATCGGGCTCCCTGCTCAGCAGAGAGTCTGCTTCTCCTTCTCACCCTCCTCCCTCTCATGTGCTCTCTCTCTCTCATTCTCACTCTCTCAAATAAATAAAATCTTTAAAAAAAAAAACTATTCCTCTTTAATGCATCTAAATGTATTTTTTTTTGCTCCATTGTTGTGCTAAAACTTTTCTGCTGGAAACCTGGACTTATACAAAGTCTCTCTTGTCCACAGGTGACCGCTTAAGATTTAGTGTTTTCTAGGGGTTTGCGGACTGATGCTGAGAAGGGCTGAAGCTTGTTCACAGGCTACTGCTGGGTCCAAGCCAGGACCTAGGTCTGTATGTTTTTTACAGAATGCAAGGGTGGGCAGAATTCCTCCTGGGTTGCTTAGTATATGCTGCTGGATCCCAAAGTCCCACAAAGGCATTTTTGTCCATGGATAGATGCCAAATTATTGGTGGGAGATTGGGGAGGGGGCACAAATGAGGGACATCTTGTTCAGCCACGTTGCTGACATCACTTCTGAAATTGTCTTTAGTAAGGCTGAGTGGCTGGGAAGAAGTGGAATGTTCAGTCATCTCTTCTCAGTGGTCAAATTTCTGCTCTCTTTGCTTTGTCCTTTCTCTAGGTGCAATTCCTTTCAGTTATGAAGGCTAAAAGTTCAAGATAAAGGTATTGGCAGGTTTGATCTCTCCTGAGGGCCATAGGGAAGGGTCTATTCCAGGCATCTCTCTTTGGCTTGCAGATGGCCATCCTCTTGCTTCCTCTTCATATGGTCCTCCCTCTCTGTTCTCAAAATTCTATGTATTCTTAAACCGTTCCATAGCTAGCTGACAAACAGTGGTATTTCACATCCCAGCAATAGTTTCAAGACATAATTCCTTCAGCTACTGGAATCAGAGTGAACAAAAATGGATGAAATCAAAGTGAGATGACAAGGTTTCACAAGTAAAGGTTTAAATTCTTCAAAGACCAAGACTAATAAGCTTAAGGGTAAAGCACTGGCTCCTTTGGGCCCCTGCTGGAGGTTTCAAGGGATCGCCTCCAGGCCCTTGACCCAAGCAGCTGTACATCTGGTCTACTGGGCTAAAGCTGCTCAGATTCCAAACACAAGCCTTGCAAAGAGTGGTAAAATATGTGGACACTAACCACTTTGCAAGTGATCTTTCTCTCTGTACTTCAAGGAACACACAAGCAGGCCCATTTATTACAGTTTATGATCTTTTAGTATCACTTTTCGTGTATGCGACTGGCCATGCTATAACGTGATTCTGTGCCACTCTTTCTCACTGGACTGCGAACAGTTCTGTCTTTCTCAGCAGAGGTCTCAGCACAGACCCTACTCAAGAGTTCTGCACAGAAGTGTACTCAGTGAATAGGGCAGTAAATTAAGATGAAATTATCCCTCCTTTTCCCTCCTCCCTACACCCATGAGAGTATAAGCTGAACTAATCAGGGGAAAGGTGGAGTGTGGTAAATATAGTATTTCCTTATAAATAAGGATATTAGAAGACAAACATGATCAATAATTACCTTTCAATAATTACCACAGAATAAAAATGCAGAAATACCACAATAAAAATAGAAAGTTTTCAAAGAAGAGAAGTTTGCATGCATACATATTCACATACTTCATTTGAGAACCTCAGTGCTACTTCTTTCTACTATAGATGAACATAAAATGCCCAGATATATACAAAACAAACAATACAAATTTTAAACATTTTTACAAAGGTGAAAATATAAAGAAATGAAGACTATGGATTTACGTCTACAAACAATTTACTTTGAATCCCATCTGACATGAACACCTAACAGTTTACCGGACTTTGTATTTGATACAACTATATGTTAGAATTACAGTGGACAGAATTGATGAAATCCTAATCCTCAATAGCCTATACCAAGTAACTATTAAAATTGATGCAACCTTCAACTATTCTAAGTACTGTTGCTATAATTTTCTATTTATTAAAACTTCAATTTTAAGGGAACAAAACTGAACTTTATGCTCTTTCAGGAAAGAGAATAAACATTAATTAAATCTTCAATCCCAACTTTTAAAGCTTAGAGCTCTTTAAGTATTCTGCTAATCTGAAACTATTTTTGGTTCATTGCTAACTTTTAAAATATCTTAAGACAATCAGTGTGATTTAAGGTCATTTTCTTTTTGTCTGGATAGCACTGTTTTCTTTTTGTCTTTATACCAAAGCAGTAAGGCAAGAAAGTGTTTCCTTTTCCAAATCAGATAGAGAATATCCATTTTAAAATTCAGGGACTAGAATCATTGTAAATAATCCTACCAACAGGATATTAAGGCTGCTGTGATTTTCCTTTACATTTAAACCATAACATAAGATTAACAGTGTTATTGCCTACAAATGTTGAATTTATAAGCATTTGGGCTTAAATCACAGGACATAAATATTATCATTTGTCTATACTTCAATTCCAGTTAACAAAACACTGTTTTCACAATCATCTTGGATGAGTTTGAAGATGAAGTTAGAAAATGCTACACCAAAGCTGAAACTGGATGATTCTGCTACAAGGAAATATGCTTGAGGGGTCAAGAGTGGTTTTCCAATATCTGGTTAGTGTTGGCACAATGTGCCCCAACCCTGCACAGAATCTACAGGCCACACTCCAGCCATCATGACACATGTGTGCGTGCCTTAATGCTCCAAAGGGCCTGGCCTGCTACTTACCAAAGGTGAGATGTGTGGCTTTGCAAGAACCACCAGGTGCCAGTTGGAATATATCCTATTTGCTGCAACATTCTTCTTTGAGGCAAGCCCTTCTAGATATGTGAATGAGAAAAATCACATAACCTAGCCTGCGTAAGATTTCCTAAAATCATTTCCTAGCATGAATGTGAACCAGACTTTGCTGTATGCATCTATCAGTGTTAGCACCATATTTAAGCCTGAACTGAGGTAAAGATAAACACTCAGATAGCTTTGGGTAAAAATTACAGTAGCAATTTTGAATGGGGTGCTTACAACAGTGTTCTTCCTGATCATTAAGATAAGTTGTTTGAAGAACCATTTGATCCCAAGTATATATATATCCAATATATATCGAAATTGATAATACAAAGCTAGGTGTATAAGCTTTTAACAGAGAAAATGCAGCAAAACAGAATTCTCATTTTTGAAATTCAAACTATGTCATTATTGGGTTGATGAAGTCAAAGATTTTGATAAAATATACTGAGCCAACATGACAAGGCCAGTTTATCAAATAGCAATGTCTAGGAATTCCATTTTTCAGAGCATGGTCAAGTTTATGGTAGACACTAGTCAATATCCAGTGCCTACAAGAACTACATTAATCTATTTGTATCTTGCTAGTTGCTCCATTTAATAAAAGGGAGTAGCTTCTCTCTTCCCCAACTATTTTAATCTATGTAGACAAACCTTTCTGGAACTTTTACTTATCATTTATATAAAGGAATGGGGAAGGAAAGACCCTAAAACTTAAAATCTTGAAGGTGTATGTTTCAGCAAATAAAGTTTAGTTAAGAAATAACTGGATAAAATGAGGTAATTCTCTAGTTCCTATAAACTGATAAGGTGAAACAATGTGGAAGATAAAGAACTAATGAAAACTTTTCAAACGACTTTTTACCATTACTTAACATAGAAATAAGAAACCTTAGATACAGCTAGCTTTGGGGAGCAGAACAAAACTAATTTTTCAAAGAAGAACTGCAATTACTTATCAAATAAAATATACTCTTGGGAGTCTGAATTCCAGTGTTGTTCTATCTCTATAGTCAGGGCTAGTCTTGGTGCTCAGGCAGAAGCACTAAGGAGCAGTGCTTACTGCCCAGACAGCCTATCATTCAATTTGACCAAGATTCTTCAAAAACTCTCATCAGTAGTATTTTCAATGGACTCTGGTCAGATTCAGATAAAAATAGGAGGAACTTTCCCCTGCAGCCTATAGAAACGTTAAAGGAAACAGTTTAAGGTTTGTACTTAACCTTTTAAAAAATTCAGCTGAATACTGCAGATCATTCTTCAGAAAACTCATGTAAACAGTCATTATTCTTTTATAAATATGCTGGTGCGAACTGCACCTAACTGGTAATATACACAGAGGTATAGCTTAGCTACATCTGCAAGAATGCTGATTAGTATATAAGATCTTTCAGTTCCCTGTCAGTCAGTTCATTCACTTCCATAATTTTCTCTAAATGTTCCATGTATCGGCTATGGTCCTGCAGGAAATGAGGGACCCTCATGTTTTCAATAACTGCCAATCCTTTCAAGCGATCCACATCTTCATAAGAGACCTGAAAAAAGGAAGGTGGGTTAATTTTTAAATGTAAGTAACTTCTTCCCTAAGTCTTAAGAGAAACATTACTTCAATACCTGCAAAATAACAAAATTCAATGGCTTCCTTTCCCTGACTGTATTAAATACGAATGTATTGGGGCACCTGGGTGGCACATTAGGTTAAGTGTTCGACTCCTGATTTCAGCTCAGGTCATGATCTCAGGGTTGTGAGATCAAGCCCTGCATTGGGCTCACGTTCTGGGCATGGAGCCTGCTTGAGATTCTCTCTCTCCCCCCTCCCTCTGCACCCCTACTTAAAAAAAAAAAAAGTATTGATCTGCCTGCTTATACCATGACCATAAAAAAAAAATCAAGTCAGTATTTAACATTCTATCTTGGACCTATACTGTTTGTCTAGAATTTACATAACTAAACTTAATACATGTGTGTGAGAGACTCTTAAAACCTAAACAAATGTCCTGACTAAATCTAAATGAAAGAACCCAGGAAAGAGCTAGAATGTAAATACTGTATCACTGAATTAGGAAAATCGGCACGATTATAGATTGAATTCCTATTTCTATTTAATTTCAGAAATAAAATTGTGTTTTATGTTAAATTCTCTTTGTAAGATTTTATTTATCTATTAGAGAGCACACACAAGCAGAGGGAGAAGCAGACTCCCCGCTGAGCAGGGAACCTGACAGGAGGCTCGATCCCAAGACCATGACCTGAGCCAAAGGCAGACACTTAACTGACTGAGCCACCCAGATGCCCCTTAAGTTTTAAATTTTTATTATTGAAATTATTTTATTGAGTATTTCTACCACTAAGTAATGAAAATAGGTTTGTTGTTGATGCTGGTGTGGTTTAATTTTTTCTTCTTCCTTCCTTGACTGACAAGACATATCCATAAATATGTCCAAGAGATAAACTGTACAGGTTTTCTTTGAGGTTTTTGGTGTTTAATCCATTTTTAGCTTATTTTTGTGTATGGTGTAAGAGGGTGGTCCAGTTTCATTCTTTTGCATGCAGCTGTCCAGTTTTCCCAGCACCATTTATTGAGGAAGTCTTTTTTTCCACTGTATACTCTGCTTCTGTCATAAATTAAATGATCTAGGCTATCCTGTTCCATTGCTCTATCTATCGATTTCTGTATCAATTCCATACTGTTTCAATTACTATAGCTCTGTAGTATATATCTTGAAATATGGGATTATACTTCTAGCTTAGTTCTTTATTAAGATGGCTTTGCTATTCGACGTTGTTTGTGGTTTCATACAAATTTCAGGATTGATTATTCTAGTTCTGTGAAAAATGCTACTGATATTTTGATTGGTATTGCACTGAATCTGTAGCTTGCTTTGGGTGGTATGGACATTTTAACAAAATTAATTCTTCCAATCCAAGAGCACAGTGTTATCTTCTCACTCGTGTCATCTTCAATTTCTTTCATCAGTGTCTTCTAGTTTTCAGAATATAGGTCTTTCACCTCCTTGGTTAATTTATTTCTAGGTATTTTATGCTTTTAGTACGATAAGTGGGATTGTTAATTTCTTTTTCTGCTTTGTTTTTGTATCCTGTAACTTTACTGAATTCATTTATTCTGTTTTTTGGTGGAGTCCTTAGGGTTTTCTATATATAGTATCATGTCATCTGATGGTTTTACTTCTTACTAATGTGGATGCCTTTTACTTCTTTTTCTTGTCTGACAGCTAGGACTTCTAGTACCATGTTGGTAAGAATGGACATCCTGGTCTTATTCCTGATCTTAGGAGTTTTGAAAAGCTTTCAGTTTTTTGGGTTTTAATTTATGGTCTTTATTATGTTGAGGTATGTTCTCTCTAAAACTTTGTCAAGGGTTTTTATCACGAATGGATGTTGTACTTTGTCAAATGTTTTTTCCTCATCTATTGAAATGATGTGGTTTTTTTGTTATTGATGTGATGTATCATGATTGATTTGCAAATACTGAACAACCCTTGCATCCCAGGAATAAATCCCACCTAATCATGGTGAATGATCCTTTTAGTGTATTATTGAATTCGGTTTGGGTAGTATTTTGTTTAGGATTTCTGCATCTGTATTCATCAGAAATACTGACCTGTAGTTTTTTTTGTAGTGACTGTGTCTGGTTTTAGTTTCAGGATAATGCTGGCGTTGCAGAATGAATGTGGAAATTTTACTTCCTCTTCTATGTTTTTTTAAGAGTTTGAGAATTATATTTACTCTTCTTTGTTTGGTAGAATTTAGAATTCATCCATGGAGCCACGTGGTTCTAGCTGCTGGGAGTTTTGTTTGTTGGGAATTCATTTATTACTGATGCAGTTTCATTACTAGCAGTCAGTCTGTTCAAATTCTCTACTTCTTCCTGATTCAGTTTTAGAGGATTGTAGGTTTCTATTTTCTTTGTATTTCGGTGGTATCAGTTATTTCTCCTCTTTCATATCTGATTTGAGTCCTCTCTTCTTAACGAGTCTGGCTAAAGGTTTACCAATTTTATCTTTCAAAAAAACCAGATCCTAGTTTCATTGATCTTTTCTGCTAGCTTTGTTCTTTTCTAGTTCCTCAAGGTAGGCCTGTATCACTATAAACATCCTTCTTAGAACTGCTTTTGCTGTGTCCCCAAAGTTTTTATTTTTATTTTTTTTTAAAGATTTTTTATTTATTTATTTGAGAGAGAGAGAACGAGAGATAGCACAAGAGGGAAGAGGGTCAGAGGGAGAAGCAGACTCCCTGCTGAGCAGGGAGCCCGATGCGGGACTCGATCCCGGGACTCCAGGATCATGACCTGAGCCCAAGGCAGTCACTTAACGAACTGAGCCACCCAGGCGCCCCCCAAAGTTTTTAGACCATTGTGTTTTCATGTATTTTTTGATTTCCTCTTTGATTTCTTTGTATACCCATTGTTTGTTAAACCATCCTGAGTTTATTATAGGAAAGAATGAGTAAAAGTAAACATAATATTGCAGTTGGTAAACATAGTTCTCATTTGAAGAGAAAGGAGATAGATACACATATGGAATGGGAAAGGGAGGGGTAAAAGAAACTCTGATTTGAATTAGAATGCCCTTATGATTTAAAACAAATACAAGATTTGCTCACTGGGAAAACCGAGAAGCATCAATATTCCAGGAGTAATGAGCACACCTAGTACTCAGACCTGGTTTTCTAAATACCATTTTCACTAAAAGGAATCAAGGCTTCCTTGGAGAAATATCTCATCTGAGATTTGGATAGAAAAGAAAAGGTGTAAGATGGACCGAGAACATTTTACTTTGCCAGGAAACAGGGTGACATGTTTTTAAAAACACAGAAGCAGCCACTGGAAGGGTTGAATAAAAAAACACTTAAGTTCATAATAATATTGCAAAAGAGTGAAATGTAACAGAATTTAAGATCTCTATTTTGCTACCACTAGTGTAGTTGACTGATATGGGCAAAGATCATCAAAGGATGTTAAAACCATTCCTTGAAAGGTTAAGGAACAGTACATTCTTAGGTATTACCCCACAGATTATTTAATATAAAAAAGGTACCTTTACAAGGGAGAGATCTGGCAGTAACTAACTTACCCAAGTGATCAAAGCATCACTGATAATGGAATAAAATCACATATGTGCTTTCTAATGTGATGAAATAATAAAATATACAAGTCACTTATATAGTATTCTTGGTAAAAATGTTTAACCCAAATCTAATCGCAAGAAAACAATAGGATAATACAGATTGTAGGAATTCTCAAGAAAACTGTCCTGGACTCTTAAAAATGTCAGGAAAAATAAAAAGATTGGGGGGGGAGGGAACAAAGTGGACTTCTCTAGATTTAAGAGAAATTAAATATTATAACCAAATGCAAGGCATGAATCCTTATTGAATCAGTGATACATTTCTTAAGAAAATCACATAGTCATGTCAGATTAAAGGGGGAAGTGTTATACTTGCAGCTTATTTAAAATGCTTTAGAGAAAGAGGTATATAAAATGAAACCATATAATACATTGCCAAATTTCCTATTCCCTTCAAAGAAATGTTGGAGTTTGGTTTTGTGATACCATTATTTCTTCCTTCCAGGAAACTTCAAACACATAGTCTAAAAACAATCTGAATCTTATTTAATCATTAAATCAAGCCTGAGGAAATGATGACCTGGTGTGTTGTAGACGACATGCCACTGGTTTCACTCACCTTCCCCAGGGCGGTAAGAAGATGAAAGTCAATGGTCTCTCTGTATCGGAGGATTTGCAGGATACCATCCAAGTATACTTGGTCTTTACTGAAGCACCCTGGAGGAAGACAATAGGTTTTATTTTCTAAGTAATTAGATACTAACACAGTCCCTTTACTGTAGGCTTCAGTCCTGAATAAAAATAAAAATGGCAAATTAGAATTAACTATCTTCATAACCTAAAATGCAAGGTCTTGGGTAGCACCAGGAAAATGTGCAGACTGGTAGCTTCCCTTTAAGAATTCCATTCCCCATAGTTAAAACAGCATTTTTTCTAATCATAAACACTGGTGATTTAAAATATAGGACATGTCATCCACACTCCCACCATTTGATCATAACCTTAACTCCCATGTGTATGGAGGCACCTGGGGCAGCAGGGAGGACAGCTATTGAGCAGTAAGTCTCACAGGGGGCAAGGTGGAGACATGGGATTTCAGAAACTCCTGGTTTTTAAAAAATACTACCCCTTACCCCATTAAAAACAGCTATAGGTGATGTCGATACTCCTCCTCCATATGAAAACAAGAATTAGAACTGGATATTAATATGGAGGTTTAAAAGTAGAAGAAAATATGAAAACATGAAAAGGAACAGCTCATGAGATCTGAGCCTAAAGTGTTCCACTTACAAAAAGAAAACTTTTTCCCATCATGACATAACTTCTGTAAATTTTCTAAAATTCTCTATTAAATGGACTAAAATTCTACCATATTAAGTCATAATTTTTTTAGGTATGCTAATAGCATGGGAATTATGGAAAAAAGGTAGGACACTTTTTCAGCTAGGCTCAGATCTCATGAGCTGTTCCTACTTTTTAGGAGAAATAAGATACATATTGAAGTACTTGGCTTTAAAATACTATAGAAAAACAGGAACTTAGAAGAATAGATGACCCACGGCTAGGAAATGTTGATAATTACTAAGATTAAGTGATGTTTAATGAGGGCACATCTGATTAATCACTTTTGAAATTTGAAATTTTCAAATTTCAAACTTTTAGTAATAAAGTTATGTGGGGGCACATAAGTGGCTAAGTTGAACATCCAGCTTTTGATTGTGGTTCAGATCATGACACCACATACCTAAAATGGTGGTACAGAGAAGAGTACAAATTTAATGCTTTTTGTATGGGTTCAAACTTAGGTAATCATCAACTTAATATAGAGACTCCACTAAAAGTCTCCTAGAACTGATAAATGAATTCAGTAAGGTTGCAGGATACAAAATCAATATACAAAAATCCACTGCATTTCTATACACAATGAAGCAGCAGAAAGAGAAATTAAGAAAATCCCATTTACAATTGTACCAAAAATAATAAAATATCTAGGAATAAACTTAACCAAAGGGGTGAAAGACCTGTACTCTAGAAACTATAAAACACTGGTGAAAGAAATTGAAGATGACACAAATAGACATTCCATGCTCATGGATTTGCAGAATATTGTTAAAATGTCCATACTACCCAGCAATCTCCAGATTTAAAGCAATCCCTATCAAAATACCAATAGCATTTTTCATAGAACAAGAACAAATAATCTTAAAATTTGTATGGACTCACAAAAGACCCCAAATAGCCAAAATAATCTGGAAAAAGAATAAAACTGGAGGTTATCATAATACCAGATTTCCAGATATATTACCAAGCTCTAGTAATCAAAACAGTATGGTACTGGTACAAAAACAGACACATAGATCAATGGAACAAAATAGAGAGCCCAGAAATAAACCCATGATTATATGGTCAATTAATCTTTGACGAAGCAAGAATATGCAAAGAGAAAAAGTCTAACAAATGACACTGGGAAAACTGGACCACTTTCTTCCATTATACACAAAAATAAACTCAAAATGAATTAGGGACCTAAATGTGAGACCTGAAACTATAAAAATCACAGAAGAGAGCACAGGCAATTATTTCTTTGACACTGGCCATAGCAACATCTTTCTAGATATGTCTCCTGAAGCAAGGGAAGCAAAAGCAAAAATAAACTATTGGCACTACATGAAAATAAAAAGCTTTTACACAGCAAAGGAAACAACCAACAAAACAAAAAACCTACTGAATGGGAGAAGATATCTGCAAATGATATATCTGATAAGGGATTTGTAATCAAAATATATAAAGAACTTATACAACTCAACACCAAATAAACCCTGAAATAATCCAATTAAAAATGGGCAGAAGACACAAAGAGACATTTCTCTAAAGAAGACATACATGCTGGAGGGGAAGGAGATGGAGTAACTGGGTGATACGCATTAAAGAGGGCACTCGATGTAATGAGCACTGGGTAATCTATGCAACTGATGAATCACTAAATTCTACCTCTGAAACTAATGATACACTATATGTTAATTAAATTGAATTTAAATAAAACATTAAAAAAAACATACAGATGGCCAACAGATACATGAAAAGATACTCAACATCACTCATCATCAGGCAAAGGCAAATCAAAACGACAATGAGATATCACCTCACACCTGTCAAAATGGTTAAAATCAAAAACACAAGAAGCAAGGTGAGGATGTGGAGAAAAAGGAACCCTGGTGCTCTGTTGGTGGGAATGCAAACTGGTACAGCTACTGTGGAAGACCATATGATGGTTCTTAGAACAATCAGAATTACCATATGATCCAGTAATTGCACTAGTGGGTATTCACCCAAAGAATACGAAAACACTAATTTGAAAAGATATAAGCACCCCTGTGTTTACTGCAGTATTTACAATAGCCAAATTAATAGAAGCAACCTGTGTATGATAGATGAATGGATAAAGAAGATGTGGTGTATGTTTATATATGTGTGTTTTTATATACATACACACACAATGGATTATTACTCAGCCATAATAAAGAATGAAATCTTGCCATTTGCAACAACATGGGATGATCTAGAGGGTATAATGCTAACTGAAATAAGTCAAAGACAAGTACCATATGATTTCACTCATATATGGAGTTTAAGAAACAAAACAAAGAACAACAACAACAAAAAAACCAGACTCTTAAATATAGAGAAAAAACAGGGTTACCAGAGGGTAGGTGGGTGGGGCATGGGTGAAAAAGGTGATGGGGATTAAGAGTACACTTATCGTGATGGGCACTGAATAATGTACAGAATTGTTCAATCATTATATTGTACACCTGAAACTAATATAACACTATGTTAATTATACTGGAATTTTTTTAAATTAAAAAATTAAAACAAAACAATGAGATACCCACTAGGACGATTACAATAATTTTAAAAATGAAAATACAAGTATTGGTAAGTGTTGGTAAGGATATGGAAAAATAAGAATCCCATATACTTCTGGTGGGAATATAAAATATTGCATTCACTTTGGAGAACATTCTGGCAGTTCCTCAAAAGCTTAAACAGAGAGTTACCATATGACCCAACAATTCTACTCTTAAGTATATACCCAAGAGAATTAAAAATATAAACTTGTATTCAAATGTTCACAGTAACATTATAATAGCCAAAACATGAGGAAACAACTCAAATGTCCATTAACAGTGAGTGGAAAAATAAAATGTGTCTTATACATGCAATAGAATGTTATTCAGCAATAAAAAGGACTGAATACTGATACATGCTACCAAAAGGATGAACCTTAAAAACATCATGCTAAGTGAAAGAAGTCAGACACAAAGGATTACATATTATGTGATTCCATCTAAATGAAATGTCCAAAATGGGCAAACCTATAAAAGCAGATTAATGGTTACTTAGAGCTGGGAGCTTGGGGAAGAAGGAATGGAGAATAACTGTTAATGGGTACAGGTTTCTTTCTGGGGTTACGAAAATGTTCTAGAATTAGATAGTGGTGATAGCTGCGCAACTCGATGAACATTCTAAAAACCACTGAGCTATACATTTTAATGGGCAAACTGTAGGTCGTGTGAATTATATCTCAGTAAAGCTGTTTTTAAAATCAGAGCAAGAAAAAGCAGAACTGGCAAAATGTTAACAATTGGTGAATCTAGAGGATGGGTAATATGAGTGTTAATTCTATCATTTCCATATTTCTGTTAGGTTTGAAATTTTTCAAAATGAGATTTGAAAAAAGAATGCTAACAAAATATGGTTTGGGAAAACTAGCACGGACCTCAAGTAACAAAGGTTTAATTTTTCATAAGTGAGTGATTTCTCTGATTGGTGGATAAGGATTTAATCAAAATCAATAGACAACTAACCATAAGGCAAATCTACAGTCAAGAGACACTCACCTGGTTGAGAAGTATCAGTCCATCCCCTCTTGGCTCGTACACAATAATCCCATCTTGTATTGGGGTCCTTGACAAACTTTCCAATATCTTTGAAGAGTTCGCAAAAAGACATTTGGCTGGCTCGATAAACAGTGTAGTAGAGGAGGGCAGCCCTCCATAAAAAGGGGTCTTTTCTAAAAAGGACACTGTGAATACTTGCCAGTCCTTCCTCTGTGGGATTGTTTGGCTTTAGCTCATGTTTTTTGCGGCCAGTCCAACTGTTCCATGGCTGCTGAAGGTTGTTAATACCTCGAAAATAATGTGTGCCTGTGGAGAAGAAAAGGTGCGTGAAAAACAAGAAAGGACATTCTCATTTTAATTCTTATCCAAAAAAGATTCTACCAACAGTTCTAAAACCAAATTGATATATACCTATGAATCAAGACAAAGTGGAAAATGACCTGACCCTAAAGCCTTTTGAAGGAGCTACTCTGCCTTCAGAAGGACCCCATGTCTCATTAGAACAGGTGTAACTTTTATACCATTTATTTTCTTAAAGGGAAGAATCAGAGACTTGATATTTGAAGAGAATCTCAGAGAGCACTCAGTTCCATTTCCCTCAGTTTCAGAAACATGGGGAAGTGAAATCCAGGAGTTAAATGACTTTCCAAGCTTAACACAGCTACATGGTACCCTAAAAAAATCTAACTTGAAGTGAGACAATATCTTAGTTCAAGTGAAACCTAACAATTTCATTACCTTTTGCCAAATACTGTTAAGAAAAGACCCATTATAAAAGAATGTTTCTTTGCTGCTGATTTCTGATATTATAAGTGAACAAATGGAGAAGGGCTGCCCCTACCTATCTCATGCCTCAGCATTCCCTCCAGCCAGTGCTCACGTGCCGTGGAAACATTAATGGTCAATGTTGGGCACCCATTTACCACTGTCATTGAAGCTCGGGACAGCAGGTCTTCAGTGAGATGAACTACGATCTAAGAAGCAAGAGGGAAAAAAAAAATGTAAAGGCTGGGGAGAGGAAGCTTTCACAGCAAACAACAGACCCATAAATCAGTATTTCATTTATTTAAAAAATTCTTTTTTAATTTTATTATGTTAATCACCATACATTACATCATTAGTTTTTGATGTAGTGTTCCCTGACTGTGCGTATAACACCCAGTGCTCCATTCAATATGTGCCCTCTTTAATACCCATCACCAGGCTAACCCATCCCCCCACCCCCGTCCCCTCTAGAACCTTGAGTTTGTTTCTGAGTCCATAGTCTCTCATGGTGCATCTCCCCCTCCCAATTCCCCCCCTTCATTTTTCCCTTCCTACTATTTTTTTTTAACATATAATGTATTATTTGTTTCAGAGGTACAGATCTGTAATTCGACAGTCTTATACAATTCACAGTGCTCACCATAGCACATACCCTCCCCAATGTCTATCACCCAGCCACCCCATCCATCCCAACCCCCCACCACTCTAGCAACCCTCAGTTTGTTTCCTGAGATTAAGAATTCCTATCAGTGAGATATGATACAGTATATTTTTATTTTGCTTGTACCAGTTTGAATCTCCCAGATACCAAGAAAATGATAATCACTTTTGACCCTTCCACTTTTGAGCATGCGCAACTCAAGAACCTTTCCTGGATTAAAGGAAAGTAGAGGGCTGTGCTGAGGAGGCAGTGCCCTGTTGTGCTGTCAAATACAGTCCCCCCTGGTTGAAATGAGGCAAAGGAAGGTACACAAGCCAGAGTCCGCTTCTCTGCTTGACCATTTTGAACTGGCTGCTAATAAGAGGAGGCCACTGAGGCAAATTGCTTCATTAATACACACAAAGAAACACACATTAATAAACACAAAGAAACTGAACACAGCAATTCAATATAGTGAGATCTCTGGGTGACTAATTAAATGAGCAGTTAAAATGCCAACAGCATCTCGTGTCACTCCCAATTCATACCTCACCCAGGCAGCCTTCTTTCATCATGTACTTCCGAACATGACTCCAGATTCGAGTTTTAGATAGCAGGCTGCCACCAGTGGCCTGCTCAAATTTTTCATAACTTCCATATTTCTGTAAAGTCAGTTCCATAATATTGATGGACTGTAAAAAAAAAACACAACAGGGATAATGAAAATAAATAGCGTCTTATTACTTTGAGATGAGTAATAAACCAGTTATATTCTTATGGATCATGACCTGTGCTGTGTTTATTGATTTCCAAATGAAACTGCAAGGGAGGTACCATAACTGATTCTAAACAGCTTTCATTCATTGTCACAAATTTTTACGAACACCTCTGTACTTACAAATCCTCTTTCCCTTCATACGCTGGGCGTTTAAAGGTATTGTATATAGTGTCATCATCTGACAGTTTGAGAAGGCAAGGCAGAGGGGCTCCTTGGCTTCAATAAGACAATTTGGTGGTCTGGCAGGAGAACTCAGAGTGGAAGGTATATCTCCAGACTAATCACTGAATTATAATTGCCATTCAGATAAAGACAAAAATGCCCCAATTTTTAAGAACACATAAAAGAATCAACCATTCTTCTGTGACAATCTTATAAAATCTGAAGTTTTCCAGGGCTAGTCTTTCAAAGAAAACAGTGTCAACGTTACTAAAAACACTTTTATCTTTCATTCAGGGACGGGTACTACCTACTTCTCATTCTTCATAAATTTTTACATCAAAAGAATATGAAAGTTGAGATCTTTTCTAACACAAATATGCAGAAAGGAAGACTAAAAGCTAGAGATCACTAGTATCTGGGAAAGCCACAAGAAAGGAAAACATAAGAAAAATCTTTAAAAAGTCTTTTGGGAAAGAAGCTAGAGAAATCAAATATATCTTACAGCAATTGTGAGAGAAGCTAGAAAATCCATTTTATGAAGTCTAGTTTCCAGACTACTGTCAGACTAGTAAAGAGATTAAAACGATAAGCTCTAGGGTCAGACTACTTGTATTGATGTCCTGGTTCTGTCCCCACTCTGGCTGTGTGACCATGAGCAAGTCATTTAACTTGTTACCAAGCCCTCCTCATTTTTAAATGGGGTAACAATAATAATGTCTACTTCATGGTTTTATTTGGAAAATATAGTCAATCTTTGTAAAGCACAGTGTCTGGGGCCAGTAAGTGGTCAGTACCTGTCAATTATTATTATATCATTATTGTCGTCATCGGTATGTTCATTCTAAATGCCACCACTGTAGAAAGTATGCCCAACACAAAAACTACAGAAAACTCACACACTACAAGTTATAATTCAACATCTATATCCCTGTTGGAAAAATATGTATTACTAATAAACTAGGCATGTATCATAAAGTTATAACAAGAAATGGCGTCAATAGGCTTTGACTGGCTTTTGTTCCCAAAACTGTTATCAAAAGCCCTACAATTCAAAGTGTGGTCCAAAGGCTGGCAGCATTGGCTTCACATGTGAGCTGGTTTCAAATGCAGAATTTTGCCCCCACCATGCCTATCAAATCAGAACATGCACTTTAACAAGATCGCCAGGTGATTCATGTGCAGGGCAAAAAGAAGGATTTTGGAGAATTGGAATAGAGCACAAATACCCCAGAGGCTAATTTTTTATATGACAACTATGATAATTAAAAGAATAAAAGCATGGGGTGCCTGGGTGGCTCAGTTGTTAAGCGTCTGTCTTCTGCTCAGGTCATGATCCCAGGGTCCTGGGATCGAGCCCTGCGTCATCAGGCTCCCTGCTCAGTGGGAGGCCTGCTTCTCCCTCTCCCACTCCCACTGCTCATGTTCCCTCTCTCGCTGTCTCTGTCAAGTAAATAAATAAAATCTTTTAAAAAAAAAAAAAAGGAATAAAAGCACACAATCAAAAACCCACTTCAGCAGATTAGCAAAGATTTTTTACATACACCAGTCTAATGATGACTAGTCATCAATATATCAGAGTGAGAAGAGTATGAGAAACCTGGCCTTAATTCCAGGAAAGACAGAAGTGGTACCTTCTACATTGGACCGATATTTAGACCTAAAAAAGGTTGAGGAAATTTATTATGACCTGTAGTTATATGTTTTTAAGTATGTACTTAATTTTAGATAAAATTAGCTTTTCTAGCATATGCTTACTCACTAGAAAAAAAATGTGGTTATCTGGTTACTATGGTAGTCCCCCCGCCTTATCCGCAGGGGATATGTTCTAAGACCTCAGTGGATGCCTGAAATTGCACTGAGTGTCAAACCCTATGTACACTATGTTTTTCCTATACATACACACCTATGATAAAGTTTAATTTATAAATTAGGCATAGTAAGAGATTAACAATAATAAAATAGAACAATTATAACAATATACTGTAATATGAATGTGGTCTCTCAAAATATCTTACTGAACTATACTCACTCTTCTGATGATGATGTGAGATGATAAAATGCCTATGTGATAAGATGAAGGGAGGGGAATGACACAGGCAGCAGCATTAGGCTACCACTGACCTTCTGACAACATGTCAGAAAGAGGATCATCTGCTTCCAGACCGAGGCTGATCTCGGGTAACTGAAACCGCAGAAGGTGAAACCATAGGTAAGGGGAACTACAGTGTTTATTACAGCAGATATAAACAGTTTAGAGAATTAAGAAAAAATTAAATACAGGTGTTCCCTGTTATCACCAATAAATAGTACTAGTAAAAGGCTATTAAGTATTCATATTCATAATAAGCATTCATATTCATAATGGGAAACAAAAATTTGATAGGAAATTTATACTGAAAAAGTACCCTATAAATGTTAAGATAAAACATACTTAGCAGTTTAACAACATATAGGCAACCTTTATACTCATGTACTAAATATTGGATCAAAGAATGATTAAAAATAGTGGGGTTTTATACGATCCAGCAATTGCACTACTGGGTATTTACCACAAAGATACAAATGTAGGGATCCGAAGGGGTACGTGCACCCCGATGTTTATAGTAGCAATGTCCACAATGGCCAAACTGTGGAAAGAGCCAAGATGTCCATCGACAGATGAATGGATAAATAAGATGTGGTATATATACACAATGGAATATTATGCAGCCATCAAAAGGAATGAGATCTTGCCATTTGCAACAACGTGGATGGAACTGGAGGGTGTTATGCTGAGTGAAATAAGTCAATCAGAGAAAGACATGTATCATATGACCTCACTGATATGAGGAATTCTTAATCTCAGGAAACAAACTGAGGGTTGCTGGAGTTGTGGGGGGGTGGGAGGGATGGGGTAGCTGGGTGATAGACATTGGGGAGGGTATGTGCTATGGCGAGTGCTGTGAATTGTGCAAGACTTGAATCACAGATCTGTACCTCTGAAACAAATAATGCAATATATGTTAAGAAAAAAAAAGAAGATAGCAGGAGGGGAAGAATGAAGGGGGGAAATCGGAGGGGGAGACCAACCATGAGAGATGATGGACTCTGAGAAACAAACTGAGGGTTCTAGAGGGGAGGGGGGTGGGGGGATGGGTTAGCCTGGTGATGGGTATTAAAGAGGGCACATTCTGCATGGAGCACTGGGTGTTATGCACAAACAATGAATCATGGAACACTACATCCAAAACTAATGATGTAATGTATGCTGATTAACATAACAATAAAAAATTAAAAAAAATAGTGGGGTTTTTTTTTGGGGGGTGGTGATTTTTCCAACAAAATGATAGACAATAGAACATCATAGACTTCATTTCGTCTTGCTTACATGGCATCATAATGGCAACACTACCTGGGAGCTATACTGATGTTCCCCAAAGGTTATGTTAATATGATGTCATGTCCAATACTCTTCTTTAAAGAGCCTATCCTCAGGGCACCTGGGTGGCTCAGTTGATTAAGTGCCTACCTTCAGCTCAGGTCATGATCCTGGGGTCCTGGGATCAAGTCCCGCATCAGGCTCTCTGTGACCCTCATAAGGCTCCCTGCTCAGCGGGGAGCCTGCTTTTCCCTAGCCCTCTGCGCCCCCCATTCTAATACATAAGTAAAATTTAAAAAAAAAATAAAGTGCCTATCTTGTTGTCATCTCTGTTGATTTCTTCATCAGTTTTTCAACTGGTCTAACCTAGACAGATTTGTCAGTGAGCACATAGATCTCCAGTATCCTTCACTGACCTCAAGAAATAACTTCCCAATCCATCTGCATTGTAATAGCCCCCAGCATAGAGACAGAAACAGTGGTTAAATGAGTGAATAAATTCAAACTTTACAGGAAAAATCAGAAATGCTGAGTGGTCATTTCATCAGTGCATATTTTTATGTTACAATTTTTGCTTCTCTATGCAGCCTCAACTGCAGGCCACAAAAATTTTATGAGTATGATCTCAGCTTTGGGAAAAGGAAAAGGCAATAAGCAATTTAAGAAGGCACAAGGAAGCCTGCAAGAATATACCCAAAGGCTGCTGCTCCTGTCTGGGATGGAGTGATGGACTGCATTGATGTTTATTACCTGTACTTTTCAGAAGTTTTAAAATTCTTTACAATATGAATATATTAGTGTTATGATCAAGAGGAAAAAGTCATTCTTTTCCTGTTTTACTGAGGTATGACTGACAAAAATTATATATACCACGTGATGTTTTTAAAGAGGTACAATGTAATGATTTAATATATGTATACATTATAAAATGATTACCACAATCAAGTTAATTGACACAGCTATCACCTCATATAGTTACCATTTCTTATGTATGGTGAAAGCATCTAAGATCTTAGCAAATTTCAAGTATACAGTACAGTATTATTAACTATAATCATCATGCTGTACATTAGATCCCCAGGACTTACTCAGCTTATAACTGAAAGTTTGTACCCTTTGATCCACATCTCCTCATCCCCCCCTACCAAAAGTTTGTTTTTGTTTTTGTTTTTAAGAAAAAAGAAGGGAGAAGATCATCCATTTCCCTTGAGTTCAGAGAATCCGTATCTATACCACTTGGGAGAATCACATTTTCACATGCCTCATCCACATGGCTAACTACTTTTAGGGGCAATAAAGTTTATGTCAAATCTCTCTTCTCCATTAATATCATCATTAAAGTTAATCAAAAAAATGTCCCAATATTACTTGGTGGGTATTAAAACAAGTGGCTT